CCCTGGAGGGCCCTGGCATGTGTTCCTTGGGGGTGGGTGCTGCGGGGTGCACAGGGGTTCTCGGGTCCCCACAGTGTGGCGTGAGGGCCTGCGCCTCAGCCTGCTGAGCCAAGGGGCACGCCGTCCAGTGTTCTAGTCCTTGCCACGGTCTGGTGGGGACACAGGTGTCACTGGTTGCGATTCCCATTTGCCTGTCTCTGAGTATCACTTGTCATATGCCTGGGTTTCGGGTTTCCCTTCTACAAATTAACTGGGTGTATCATTTGCCCGTTTTTTTCTGTGGGGATTTTCTGTTTGGATGGATGGGAAAGAGTTTCTTATACTTTCTAGATGGCAAGTCCTTGTTGGGTTTAGAGATGGTTACCCGTGTGTGTGTGTGTGTGTGTGCGCGCGTATAGCCCATCATCCGGATTGGGCGTGGCCCGGGCACGGCCAGGCCTTGGGGCAGAGCTGGGGTGAGACGCTGCAGCACTGAGCGAGTGATCTGGGGGAGCCACAGAGAGCATGTGAACTTAGAACAGTAACGACAGGGACGGAGCCATTATGGGTGAAACTGAGTCTCCCCCCAAATGTATATGTCAGCACCCTGACCTCCGGCATTTTAGAATGTGGCCGTATTTGGAGGCAGAGCCTTTAAAGACGCAATTAGGGTAAAATGAGGTCACTAGAGTGGGTGACCTCACCCTAATCTGACTGGTGTCCTTGTAGGAAGAGGAGATTAGGTCACACACACAAACACAGAGGGATGAAGGTGTGAGGACACAGGGAGAAGATGGCCATCTACGAGCCCAGGAGAGAGGCCTTAGGGGAACCCACCCTTCCAACCCCTGGATCTCCATCTGTCAGTCTGCAGATGCAGGGGGAAAAGCCTGCCCTTTACGTCTCCCAGTCTGCAGACTCTGTTATGCAGTGGCCCGAGCTCACCGATGCAGCAGCTGTCAGTCAAGCTCTAGGTTTCTTAAACCTCAGAGAAAAGGATGCCACCCCCTTGCAGGGCTGTTTGGGAACAGCTGGGCGCCTGCCACATAGTAAGTACCCACTAAGTTATGGTGCCAGTATGGTAACACACATGTTTATCTGGGGCTAGCTGTGTGCGAGGCCCTGAGCGGGGGCTGCTGAAGAACGAAGCTGTTATCGAGCAGGGAGTAGACCGGGAGGGCAGAAAGTTTTGGGGGGAGGTGACCTGGGTGGGTAGGTAGGTCACGGTCAGCTTCAGAGAGAGATAAGCCTGGGGAGCTGGACGGTATAGAGATGAAGGGGGCAGGAGGGGTCAGCACTGGGTGCTAGTAGATAAAAGGGATATAAAATAAGAGGCGTCTGGAGACTGTCTCCCTCCCAGCAGCCCTGAGGAGTAGGCAGGGCTCAAATACTATTATTCCCATTTTACAGATTGCACAACTGAGGCCCAGGGAGGGGAAGCAACTTGCTCAGGTGCCACAGCAGGTCTCCTGCCTCTGGGACCATCTCCTCCCTAGCATCTCCCCCTGGAGACCTATGGGAACTGTCCCAAGGACGGCCATAGCTGGCCCAGGGAGTCTAGCCCAGGAGCCTCAGAGAAGGCCAGCTATAGGCCCTGGTTTCAAACTGGGTGTGAGTTCAGGGTCGCAGGAGGAACCGGGCCAGGACAGCCCCTCTGCCCCCCAGGCTTCTGGAGAGCTGAGGGCAGAGAGGGTAGCAGGCTGGCCACAGGCTCACCTACCCACTGGGATGGACGATGTTGCCTTTGGCAAGTGATTCTCCTGTGTGCCCCAGACCTTAGCCAAATTGTCTAGAAAACGACAGTGGATTCCTTAGGGGCAGGAAAAAAAGATTTGAATGAGGAGGTGTCCCTGGAGTGGGTAGCTGGGGACTCTGGGGCATGAGAAAGGGCGTGAACAGAGATGAAAGCAAAGTAGTTAAGAGCAGGGCTCAGGGTCAGAGCCACCAGGGGGGTGCGTCAGCGTCCCGGCCTCACCTTCACCAGGAGGATAATAACTGCCAGTGCCGGGCGTCAGTGGTGGTGTGTGAGCGAGGGCAGTTAAAGCATCTGTTGTTGGGTTTGGGCTACTGAGGGCACTGAGCAATTATTATTTATTGTGAGGAACTAAAACCAATATCCAGCATAATCAGATGGTGACCTGAGGACCAGCCCAAACCAATTCAGAACCCTGCAGACCAGCAGGGTTAATGGAGTTCCTGCTTTTGACCTGCAAACGTGATTCAGAGCTTCCTTGTGGCCATATCAAAAAGGCAGGTGTGACCGGTTGCAGAACTTGCATCGTCAGGAATGAGGAAGCAGCCCAGTGCCTCGGGGGGAGGCTGCGGTGCTTCTCCCTGGGCAGGGGCTTCGTCAGGGCGCTCCGGCAGAGACAGGGCACAGTGTCACGGACCAGGGCTCACGTGGCACTGCAGATGTGACTCCCATGGAGCCTTTAAGGGAAGGGGGAGGGGAACCGGGGAGGTGGCTCAGGGAAGGCAGCTCTGTGGAGGGTCAGGAATGTGATGAAGGTCCAGGCTCTTGGAGTTCGAGGCGGAGGCTTGGGGGACTCATACCGGTGGGGGTTGGGGTCTGTTGATCCAACAGGGAGGCAGAGGGGGCATGAGACCCTTCACTTGAGATTCTTGGAAGTCACGCTGGAGTCGGACTTCCCAGCTGTGTGGCCTCAGGCAAGTTGCTTTACCTCTCTGAACCTCACTTTTCTCACCTGCGGACCAAAACCCTTGCAGGGCTGTCGTCGGGAGCATTGCATGGAGTCTTGCACAGCAGGGTTTGACACTGCGATAAGTACTCACGTAAAGGTTGCCTGTGTATGTACACATATCATGTACATATAATTACAGATACTTTTTTTCATAAGCTTCCTGATTGTGGAGGAAGAAATACAATAACGAGAAATACAAATATCAAGAATTTTATAGTTCTTGACAATTTAAAATTGGCAAAGGATTCATTCGCATTTCACATGACCCTCCCGACAACGTGATGGACGGGTTCTTACCCCCATTGGACTGATGAGACCAGAGCTTAGAGAGGCAAAATCCTCACCTGTGTTGTCTTTGACCTGCCCTTGAACCTGGAGCTGGGAGACCAGTGGGCAGAATGCACTGGTCCTCTGGCCTTCTTGGCCCCGCCCACCTTCCCAGGCAAAGGCCATTTTAGGAGGGAATTTAGAGTGGAGGCCTGAGAAATAATGATGATGATGATGGTGATAAGAATGAGAATAGTGGTAATGACAATGACAAGCTAGTACTCACCCAGGAACAGCACCATCCTCAGTACTTTGCATGTGACGTTCAATCCTCTCAACAGGGCCAAACTATTATGATCGTGCCCATTTTATAGCTAAGACAACTGAGGTGCAGAGAAGGTAACTGACCTGCTCAAAGTCATAGGAAGTTGGTACAGGATGAGAATTTGAATGCCAGTGGCCTGTCTGGGCCGCAGAACATGTGTCCTCTACTTACAACCTGGCCTGGGGGCAGAAACAAGCTCAGGACAGGAGGGTTGTATGTGGGGACAGGACAGAGGCCAAAAGCAAACCTGTGAGTGGGGCCCCCTCCAGGAATGACCGAGGGACAGGGTTGGGGGAGGACATGTGCCAACTGGGGACGCTGACTCACTCGGTTCTCAGGGTGAGGGGTGGCGGGGGGACGGGCAGCTATGCCCGGAAGATGTCAGCGCCACCCTGTGCGGGCCCAGCCTGGCTCCCAGTCAAGGACGTAAAGAAGTGGCCTCTGACCCTGAGTGGCTCCCAGCCCAGCTGGAGAGCCAGACATGACGTGATCTGTGTCCCCAGAGCATCTCTGCAGACAGATGCCGCAGTGCCAAGTGCTTGGTCTTGAGTCCGTTCCTCTTCACCGTCCTCCAGGGCCTCAGACACTCCACACCACCACTGCCGCACAGGGGGCCATGCTGGAGGGTAGGGCACTTCTACCTCCCTCGTTCCAGCATCTTAGCTTAAAGCTGTCCTTTAGAACTCAGCCATTGGGGTAAAACTTCAGCCTCGTGGGGCTCTAGGAAAGCTGGCTCCAGGAAGCCCGACTCCCGGGCTGTCAAATACCTCTCCCCAGGGCTTCTCAGAGCGCTTCTCTGACTCGTGCCTTACAACTGACAGGCAGCTCCTGTGGAGCACTGTTCCTTCATCTTTTCCCTTCTTCCGGCCTGGAATGTGGGTGTGATGACCGGAGCTCCGGCAGCTTTTATTTGACTCTGGGGCCTCTACATCCCAGTGCAGGGAATGTGGACATGGTCATTTCTTCCTCAAGCATATGCTCAGTGGTGGTCATCAGATCATGATTTAGGGGCAGCATGGAGTGATGGGAAGAGCCCAGGTTCTGTAGACCTAGTTCAAACCCCAACCCAGCCACCTCCCGCCTGGATGCCTTGGTTGCCCCCAGCCTCCTTGGTGACCCTCACGTGCCAAAGTGAGACCGCTTGTTTGTGCAGAATTGTGAACACTAAGCCACATTTCCCCCAGGTAAGGGGGGGACAGCCGCGATGTCGCCATCTTCCCTCCTCTTCCCAGTATCCCAGGAAGTGCTGGGTACCCCTTATTGGGCAACCTTGGAATTTGCTCCCAGCCTGCAGAGCAGGGTGACATCCAAGCTTCAATTCTGAGTCCCCAGAGCCCAGAGTCCTCAATGGAACGTTACAAGTAGATCTTAATAAAAGCAAAAGGTGACTTTTATGCAATAAAATATAACCTCCCATCCATTGAGGACCAGCAGTGAATTTAGATGGAGGAGAGCTGGAGTCACTGGTAATGAAGCATCACTCAGCAGTGTCACCTGGCTAAGACATCTGCCTGGAGCCCCTGTGTCGAGGTGGGGAGAGCTCTGGTGGTGGAAAGTGCCTGGGTTCCCGGGTGTCAGCACCCTGGGCTCAAATTCCAGCTCAGCTGCGCATCAGCTGAGGAACCCCGGGCACATTGCTTCGCCTCTGCTTCCTTTTCTGTGAGTCCACCCAGCGCTGTGGCTCTCAGACCTGGAGCCAACTGCTGCCTCCTCGTTCTTCCCTGTAGGCATTCTCAGCGGCGCACAGAGGGTGGCTGGACGAGGGCCCACTCAGCAGAGCTTTGGACGCTGGCACAGTGAATGGTGAGGGGCTCCTGTGGTCTGAACTCCTGCCTCCAAAGGGCGCCGGTGGGGTCCACTGACAATGTGGGAGCCCTGCAGAGCTGTCCCCTGCGTCTTGGGAACATGATTGGGACCAAGTGTATGGCACTGTGCCTTTCTCCTTCATTACCCTTAGCATCGTTGAGATTTTTCCACGAAAAAGGAAAATTTTGACAAATATTTACCTCCCCCACTAGACTGTAAAGGGAAAGGGAGGGTCCCGGACAGGCAGCAAAACATGGTTGTCCAGAGGACAGGTGCTGAAGTCGGGTTGACTTTCAGCTCTATGACCTTGGATGAGTGGCTTAAACCCTCCGTGCCTCGGTTTCCTCATCTGTAAAATGGGGTTCTCCACCTACCTACCCCACTGAGCTTTTGCAAGGATGAACAGGGTTTATAAATGTCAAGGCTTCAGACTAGTACCCAGTATGGACGAGGTGCTGGGCAGCTTTTGTTAGATAAATAAAACAGCAAAGCAGGAAGTGGTTCAACTGCAGAACTGGCCTTGCTCGTTGCCAGGGAGAAGCACATCGGCCTTGCTGGTGTCAGTTAACCTGTCAAAGCAGGTTCCAGTCGAGACTCCTCTAACACCCCTGTTTCCCCTTGCAGAGAATGGGGGACAAGGATTATAACAGCTCCTTCCTCTACGATGAAGACTACCCGGAAGATCCCGACATCATCGTCGTGGAGGACTTTCACCCCCCAGAAAGCGGGGTGATCACCATCTTCCTGGTGGTGATCTACAGCATTGTCTGTTTCCTCGGGATCCTGGGCAACGGCTTGGTGATCTTCATCGCCACCTTCAAGATGAAGAAGACGGTGAACACTGTCTGGTTCCTCAACCTGGCCATCGCAGACTTCCTGTTCAATGTCTTCCTCCCGATCCACATCACCTATGCCGCCATGGACTACCACTGGGTTTTCGGGACGGCCATGTGCAAGATCAGCAACTTCCTGCTCATCCACAACATGTACGCCAGCGTCTTCCTGTTGACTGTCATCAGCTTCGACCGCTGCATCTCCGTGCTCCTCCCGGTCTGGTCCCAGAACCACCGCAGCCTCCGGCTGGCCTACGCGGCCTGCGTGGTCATCTGGGTCCTGGCTTTCTTCCTGAGTTCCCCGTCCCTCGTGTTCCGGGACACGGCCAACGTGCACGGGAAGATATCCTGCTTCAACAACTTCAGCCTGTCCGCGGCCAGCTCTTCCCCGTGGCCCGCTTACCCCCGCCTGGACTCCGTGGGGTCCCTCCGGTACATGGTGGTGACCATCACGCGTTTCCTCTGTGGCTTTCTGATCCCGGTCCTCGTCATCACAGCCTGCTACTTCACCATCGTCTGCAAGCTGCGGCGCAACCGCCTGGCCAAGAGCAAGAAGCCCTTCAAAATCATCGTGACCATCATCATCACCTTCTTCCTCTGCTGGTGCCCCTACCACACCCTCTACCTCCTGGAGCTCTACCACACCGCCGTGCCTGGTGCCGTCTTCAGCTTGGGTGTGCCCCTGGCCACTGCCATCGCCATCGCCAACAGCTGCATGAACCCCATTCTCTATGTCTTCATGGGTCAGGACTTCAAGAAGTTCAAGGTGGCCCTCTTCTCCCGCCTGGTCAACGCTCTGAGTGAAGACACAGGGCACTCTTCCTTCCCCAGCCACAGGAGCTTCACCAGGATGTCCTCGTTAAACGAGAGGTCCTCAATGAACGAGAAGGAGACCAACATGATCTAGCCTGGCCTGGAGAGCCCCGAGGACGCTCCCAACCTTGGCGTCCAAATCTGAGGCCTCTCAAGACCGCGGCAGGAACCTCTTCAGCACCCACCAACACCCACTGTGTTTTGCACGGGGCAGAACAGTGTTTTCAGTGGGGTGTCCAGGGCTTGGAACCCCTTCCTTCCAGTGGCATGGGGGACCTGGAATGACATGCAGCTCCCAGCCTTGAACCGGCAACCCATGCTTCCTGGGATGCCAGCCTTGACCAACACAAAGCAAAAAAGGGAGAATTCTCACAAGCACCCCCCTGAACTGTGACCAGCATGTGACAGGGAGATCGTGCTACCTACTGTGTGCTCCCCAGTAATGATATGCATACTCTACACCACAGGGGTGTCAAACTCACTTTCACCAGGGGCCATGTCAGCCTCACGGTTGCCTTCAAAGGGCCGAATGTAACTTTGGGACTGTATGAATGTATCTACTCCTTAACGGTTAAGCAAGAGCTCGGCCCTGCTTCTGGGAGCAGAAACAAGGTGCCCGGTTGGGTCAAACAAAGTGGAGAGCTGGATTTGGCCTGCAGGCCTTACGTTTGCCACCTGAGGGCTACGGGGTCCATTCCTGGTGTGAGAGAGGAGGTCCGAGCAAGCCAGTGTGACACAGATCACACCTCTCCCTGCATGCCCACGCCACGGCCAGCCAGACCCACCACTCACGCCATCCCTCTGGGTCCGGGCATGTGGAAATGCACGGGTTACCGGGGAGAGGAAGGTGACATGGGCCCATGAACTCCCAGGACCATGCACTGGGCTTTCAGATCCCCTGGGAAGACAAACAACGGGTCCTGAGGGGTCACGGGGGCTCTTTGTGGGGGCGACACATGCAGGTTGCCTTGAGGAGTCTGGGGAGGAGGGAAAGGGAAGAGGAAGGACTTCCGGTAGCTGCAGCGTGAAGCAGCTCGCCGAGCCCCTCCCTGGGTGAGGGTCTTTTCTGCTGTAGTTATTCTGGGGGTGGGGGTGGTGCTAGCCCTTCTCCCAACCCCTGTTCTCACTTTGCACTTGCTCTGTTGGCGGGGCTGGGTTGGGGATGCAGCTTCACCAGCAGCCTCCACCCCATCCCAGGATCCCTCTCTCCTTCCCTACCCCATTCCTGGGGGAGAGGTGAGCAAGGAGGGCATCTCCTCTTCGTCCTTGCTCACAGCCTTGCCAGGGACTAGTCCAAAATCAATGTCAGAAAGCAACCTGGGAGTGCTTCGTGAGCTGCTGAGTGCACCCAAGGGCTTGGTCAAGGTCATGGAGCCCAGTCCGGAGCCTGACTCCTTGAGCTGTGCCTCTGGGATGCGGGTCCTGTGGTGTCAGAGGCATGGAGCACCTGCGGGCAGCCCCTTGGCCTTTCCTCGCCCAGCACAACACCTTCCTGTGCCGCAGAGTCCTTCTCCCTCTTACAGACGACGAAGCCGAGGCTCCAGGGAGGCAGGCAACTCGCCCAGCAGCACACACGCAGCCAGCCGGGGGCTCTGTTCGGCCGTGTAGAGGGCGTGTCTGCTGAGAATGTCCTAGACCCAAACGATAGCCGACGTGGGGTCAGCACTCCCTGTGATAAGCACATTACGTCTGTCTGCTCCTCCATCCCTCAGCTGCCCTGAGTTAGGTACAATTACGTCTCACTTCACTTTTCCGTATGGGTGTCCAAGGTTTAGCAGCAGGTTAAGCCACTGGATGGAGGGCCCAGCTGGTCTCTGCCAGAGTCTGGATTTGAATCCGGATCTCTGTCTGGCTCAAATAAGGCTGCAGAGTCTTAAGGTTTTGAGAGGGGTTGGGGGGTTTGACCATCAATATCTGTTCCTCAGCAGATTAATATAAACAGCTTAGTGGCCTTTAAGTCAGCTTGGCGATTCGATTTAGAAAACGACCCAGCACCGCAGAGAAAATGCGGCTTCCTGGACACCCACCCACACACATGCCCATGAGGCTCCCCGTCCTGCACCCCTGAGGCCTCAGGGAGGGCAGTGGGGACAGAGGCCTGGCTGGAGAGAGACCCTCTCGGGCCCGAGGCCCCTGGGGCCCCCCAGGTCTGCATTCTGTTCTCTTCCAAGTCCCCTCGCTGCGAAGCCGGCCTCCACCAAGAGGCACCTAAACAGATGTAGCATCTGCAGAGCGCAGGTCGGCTCCAAGGCCACGGGCTATTTGAACTCACACCTCATTAAGAGATGGACTGTTCCTTCACTTCTTGAGTCCCTGTGCTTGTGACAAGCCAGCTTGGAACTGATCCCAAGCTGCAGCCTCCAATTGCTTCCAGCAGTGTGCACTTGGGTGGTTGGGGAGCAGACAGGGGCTTTCAGGGTTGCCCAGCGCCCCCATCCGCCTCCACCTCCAGCTTCGTGGGGGTGCAGCAACCATGGCCTGAGATGGCGTGGGACGCGTTCCAGGTCCCAGAGACAGTCAGCAGCCAGGTGGGCCTCTGGCCCCCGGGACGGGGCTGCTTCCTCGGCGTGGCTGCCCGCCAGGCCGGGCCCGGGGAGCCAGGAAATCATCGGGTCTTTGGAAAAGTTGATGAGCAGGAGCGAAATCCAAACCAGCTGTTTTCCTCCTTCGGGTCCTTTCTCTGGCCGCCCCGCCGGTCTTCCTGTTCTGACTGTGACATCCCCTCAAATGCTTAAATGTCACCGTGACAGCCTCTTCAATCTTGTCCCTGAAGCTTCTTCTGGGGATCGCCACCGGTCGCACATACAAAGTCCCTGCAATTCAGAGTGTGTTTGCCTGCGTTACTCCACAGGCAGCCAGCAGGCTTGCCTTGTGCCCCTGAGCCTGGGCTTGGGGGGCCACAACCCGGACCCTGGGGTCTCAGAGCTGCCTCCCGGGTGGGGTGGGTGGGCCAGGGGGTGCTAAGAAGCAGGCAGAGGGACAGGACAGGGGGTGGGGACAGGAAGTGGGGAGGACAGCACAATGGAAGTGGAGAATAACGATGAAGGAAAGGAGCCGGCATCACTGATGCACATAGCACATCTGCTATGTGCAGGCATCACATCTTGTCACGTCCCCCAAAGCGTCCAGTGGGAGGAGGACCATCAGACCCACCTGGGGGATCCAGGGAGCGACATTCGGAGTGCGAACCTCGCTTGTTCAGGGTCACAAGGCTAATTAATGGTAGAGCCAGGGTTTGAACCAGGTCTGCTGCCTGAGCTCACAGCTTCTTCAGCTCTTTAGAGGAAGGAGCTGGAGGATGGGGGGCTTGGAGGGGGAAATGGACTGGGCGCTGGCCAAGGGAGAAGTTTGGCTTAAACCTGAGCCTAGAGTCAGCTTGGGGGTGGGGTGGTGGGGCCAGGGGCCTGGATGGGTGGGAGAGGATAGAATCCGAGAGTGAGAGCCACGAAGGCCCTTCCGACTCCTCTGGCTCAGCCTTTCCCACTGCACGGACCAGGGAGCTGAGGTTCTGAGAGCTTCCCCCTGAGAAGTCTGCAGAAGCACACGGTGCTTGGCTTGAACGGAAGTGGGCAGGGATTCCGCAGCCCCCTCTGCCACCTCCTCTCCTTCCTGCACCTCCCTAACACGCGATGCTCTGGTTGGAGCTGCGGTGCCCTGGGCCTGTGGTTGCCAAACCCGGGGTTTGGAAATTTGTGGCTGGGACTGGTATCCAGGACCAGGAAGGACCAGGAAGCCACTTGTCCTGCTGTGAAATAATTCAGTGGGGGACTTGCTCGCATCCTGTCTTTGAGGACAAAGTTTCTCTGGAAGAAAGAGACCGAGGCTAGAGTGAAGCTAGTGACAGAGGTCCTGCCCCACACTCCTCCTTGCCTTCCCCAGCCACCTGGCAGAATAGCAGCTGAGACTCAGAGAGGCCAAGCAACCTATCCAAAGTCACACAGCTGTGTTATAAGACAGCGGGTGAAACCCTGAAATTCCCAGCTTACCAGCCCCCAAATTTGGGATTTCACAATGTAGGCATCTTGGACAAATTTCCCTCTACTCATTTAATTTTCCTGGAGATCAAGGATATGAGACAGGTAGCGACCTACCCAGGATAACACAGCAAACCACGGCAGATGCGACACTGGAGCCCGGGACGACTTACTCCCTCCTCTGTGCTCTTTGGCATCACATCAGGCCACCCGAGGACCGATGAATGTCTACACAGCCATCCAGCCATCCTTTACCTGCCTATCCACCCACCTGTCCACTCATCCACCCACCCACCCATGCGCTTACATAACCACCTATGTGTGTGTATATATATCCACTCACTCACCATTCCATAAAAACCTATTGAATGCCTACTTTTTGCCAGTCCCCGTGGTAGGCATTCACTCTCTGGCCTTATCAGCGCCTGTACCAGCTAGTGGGAGAGACAGCCAATAATTGGCAAAAACCCTCTGAGTGGAAAGCAGCCTCAGTAAGTGCAACACACATATTGCAGAGGGACTTTGACCTTGTCCAAAGGCCCAGGACACTTTCTCAGGGAAGAGACACTTGAGATGTGAAGGAGAGGCAGGTGCTGGTTTGGTGGGAGATGCAGGAAAGTGTGCTGCAGCTGGGGCGGGGGTGTGGGGGGAGCCTGGGAGCAGTGTTAATTGCAGGTGGGGGGGAGCAGAGTGAATCTGGAGGCCTGAAAGGGGAGGGGCCCGCAGCACAGTGAGTAAGACTGTGTATGGAAATGATGCCCTGTGTCCGGGGCATTCTGGAGAGGACAAGTTGAAGAAGGTTAGGGGCTTGTGGGCTGCCGCAGCCTCCAAATGACTCTGCTGATGGATGCCTGGATTCTGGAAGCAAAGGTAGACTGAGGAGGAGGCGGATGGTTGGAGGATTTAAAAGCCCCCCAAGCCTTTCTCAGGGGAGTGGTTAGTGGGAAACCAACCCAGGGGCCATTTCAGCTCTACAGAGGCCTTGGTGCATGGCTTTATTGACGGAACTTAATTGTAAATATTATTCAAATTTACCTCCCAAAGCACAATTATATGTCTCCGGGGAGCCCTCTGAGCACATAATAAAGCCCTATAAATAATACATATATTAACCTACAAGGAACGCGGGCATGTTAATGCTGCAATCACCACCGGGATTGGATGGCTGTGGGGAATTGATGCAGACAAGACTACGAGCACTTGGACTTGTGGTTTAACCTTGGAGGTTACCAGGTTCTGTCCTGGGGGATCTTCCAGAAGTCTCTTCCCGCCAGGTGATGGGATACACCTGGGCATATCCCGCAGCTCCTGCCCCAGAGACCTGGCCAATGGGCCGTGGGTGCGAGGTCAGCGCTGGTGAAGGAGGAGGAAGCACAGGTCCGTGGGACAGCTTGCGTTGTCTCAGAGCTTCCAGGACAGCGACAACAGTAGGCCATCTTCATGAAGATGTCCAAAGTTGGGGCAGCCTCCAGCCACCTCACTTCTATCATCTCTGGATCCTGCAGCAGTTTTTCTGGTAGGGACCACCGCTGTGTCCACACACAGATGAGAAAATGGGGGTTCAGAGAGGTGAAGTGACTTGCCCAGTGGCCCACAGCTAATAAGTGACAGACCCCAGCGTGTCTGACTGTAAAGCGACTTGCAAACAGAAGCTGTCCCCTGATGAACATCAACCGGTTGCCTCTCATATGTGTCTGGACCGGGATCAAACCTGTAACCTAGGCTTGTGCCCTGACTGGGAAGCGAACCCGTGACTTCTCAGTTTATGGGATGATGCTCAACAAACTGAGCCACACTGTCCAGGGCCGTGGCTGTCTTCATATGTAAAAATCCATTTGTCTGTATGTGTAAGATGAACACAGAGAGCAAGCTCTGCATCAATAAAAGGATTTTTAAAGAGTAAAACAATGTCTGAGGAAGGACTTCTCACTTCCAGTTGTGCTGTGGGCAGAACCAAGTCTGGGGGCTTCTCTCTGATTCAAAAGAGCATCGCAGAGGGAAGGGGTACTTGTGGGGTCCATCCAAGGGTCTCAGGAAGGACTGAGTCCCCCCAGGGGCCACCCCAGCCCGATTCCCTGACTCACAGGGCCATTGATGACTTTGACATGGGATCACAAGCACTCAGAAGTCAGACCACCTGGGCTCGAATCCCAGCTGCACCATTTACATCAGCTGGAGTTAGGACTAAATGAGGCTCTATGACCTTGGCAAGCTACTAAATCCCTCTAAAGCCTCAGTTTTCTCATCTGTAAAATGGGTATAATGAGAATTCGCCACTCACAGTGAGGATTCAGTGAGACGCCTCGCGTAAGCACTCAGCAGATGCCAGGCTCCCACGTGCCGCCCTCCTTCATCTGGGTGGGGCTCAGCCTCTCACTGGTCTCCCCACCTCCAGGCTTGCCCCCTACAACCCACTCTCCACGAAGCAGCCCGAGCAAGCTTCTACTGCAGAGCACTCGGCCATGACTGGCGGGCCCTGGAGGGCCAGGACCGCAGCCCCCACCCTCGCCTCATGCCGTGCTCCAGCCAGGCCAGCCTGTCTGCCTCTCGAAAACAAACACATCCCCATAACCGGCGTGGCTCAGTGGGTGGGGCCTCTTCCTGCAAACCGGCAGGTTGCAGGTTCGATCCCTGGTCGGAGTGTGTGCAGGAGGCAACCCGTCCATGCTTCTCTCTCACATCAATGTTCTCTCCCTCTCTCTCATCAGAGAACATATCCTCAGGTGGGGGTTAAGGGGAAAAAAACAGATCAGCAGCAGCAACAACACTAACCCATCCCAGACTGTTCCCGCCTCAGGCCTCTGCATGTGCTCTCCCTCTAGTTCCCGGACGGGCGTTTGCGTGACTGGTCGCTCCTCCTCCTCCAGGTCTCAGCTCCAATGTCACCTCTTTGGAGGGGACCTTCTTGACCCGTCCCCACGTCAAGGAGCCCCCATCTCCATTCACTGCTGGTTAGAGTCCATATTTTATTTTCATGACAGTGCTTCATGCCATCGGGAAGGGTTTTATTTATATATGTGTGCGGCTGCCCTAAGTCTGTTCCCCTACTCGGGGCTGAGCTCTGTCAAGGGCCGGGACTCTGTCTGCCTTGTTCACCTCTGGGTCCCCAGTGCCCAGAGTTTAGCACAGAAAAGGTACCCAGACTTTTTTGTTGAATGAATGAAGAAACAACCATAGGCTGAAGTTATTTTTTAGCATCGTCACCGTGGAGTTTCGTGACAATCTGATACCCATTTGTAAAGTATTGTGGAGTTTTTTCCAAAGGGATGGGACTTGGGAAGAATGGTACGATGATCCCCATTTCACAGATATGGAAACTGAGGCCCCAAGTCACTTAGTTGGAAGCAGAGAAGCCACAGTTCTTTCCCTTGGCCCATCGGAAGCAGTCACACACGAGGGCGGTTTCCATTAATCACACACTGAGGAGGTTTCGCCTCCCTCCGCCTTTTTTCTTCCCCTTGTCTGATTAATTGCAGCCTGAACATAAAGAAGCCAGATGCCTCCCTCCCCGGCTTCCTATTGTTTTGTAGTCCTCTTCCGGCCCAGGCCTCTGTTAAGGATTTGGCTGGTACAGCTGTGACGACCACACACTTCCTGTGTTTATGCTTCCACTTTGAAATCCTGGATGGAGAAATCCACTGGGCGCTGGGCGAGGCTGCGGCAGAAGCACAGCCAGATACCTGACCCCAGATTCCCTAGAGCCCAGAGCCTCTCTCTGGGAGAGGCGGAACCCGGAATCATCTCTGCCCTGGTTTCCATTGTGCAGATATTTGGCACCCATAGAGCGAATGTCTGGATGATGGAATGAGTTCCTGACACCCAGGGGCATCTCCCAGATGCTGGTGCCATGGAGCTGGGACAGGAAGATGGGAGAGGCGGTCCCAGTCTTGGCAAATAGCTGGTGATACAGCCTAGTGAGCCCCTGGTTGATGGCAGGCAGCTTGCGATGCCCAGGTTATCACCCAGGCTCCAGTGCTTCACTGAGAAGGAGTGACTGGTGACAGAATTTCAGACCTGGTGACAGGCAGCCAGTGGCATTGCACATCCATCATCCCCCTTCATCCTCACTGGAGACCCGAACGGTAAA